CTCCCTCTGACCCTCCCCCCTCTCATGTGCTCTCTCTCATTCTCTCTCTCTCAAATAAATAAATAAAATCTTTAAAAAAAAACACTTAATCCATGAATATTTCTTTAATAAATAAAACTTGTCTTATAATAATCTATGCCTGGATGAGATATTAGACTGGATCATACCTAAGTACGGTCCAAACTGAAAATTATATCTTTCTCCCTTGCACCAGTGGCATCCTTTTCAGCATTGAATGAGCCTAATTAGTCTTTTGTCTCTCTTCATAGGAAGGATGAAGGGGAAGCCTGGCTGAGTTGTCACCCTCCAGGTAATGTTCATACGCCCAAACTAATATGCCTTCCCTTTAGAGATAGGGGATTTACTACCCTTAGAAGAGAGCTTCATACTTTCTCTTGGCTCAAACTCCTTGCACAATGCTCATAATCTTCAAATGTTCTTGACCAGTTTATGTGTACGATATCTTATATAGCCCCCATCACTGCAAAAGCAGTGTTCTCCTTAAGCAGATTTTTTAGATTACTGAAGCTTAACTCTTTGCTATGTATTATATGTATATACTGTGGATAAATGCATATATGCATGTTGATCTTCATCTTTCATCCTGGAAGAATTTCATTTCACAGTCAGGAAAACTGAGTTTAGATCACTTTAGTAGCTTTTTTTTTTAAGATTTATTTATTTAGAGAGAGAGAGTGGGGGGCAGGAACAGAGGGAGAGGGAGAGAAACTCAAGCAGACTCTGTGCTGAGTTCGGAGCACGTCGTGGGGCTCCATCTCACAACCCTGAGATCACGACCCTGAGATCATGACCTGAGCCAAAATCAAGAGTTGGGAGCTTAACTGCACCACCCAGGCACCCCTCTAGTAACTTTCTCACAAATGCTATAATTTTAAATATTTGTGCCTAGTTTTTAGCTCTTGCGCATATTCCTCCCAAATTAGGTTCACCCAGGCTAGGGCTTTTTCCACTTCACCTTACTTTATACAAGTACCTTCTTTTCTTTCATGAACCAATTTCCTACCATCTATACAAGTGCCTGAATTGAGTCTTCAAGGAGAACAATGTTAAATTCTTATTATTTTCTTGAGACATGCTTCTTTTGTGCTATGTAGGGAAACCAACTTTGTATGGCAGCCTAACTTGTCAAGGAATTGGCCAGGATGGCATCCCAGAAGTTACAGCTTCAGAAGGATTTATTGTGAATGAGATAAACAAGGTAGGTTTTTATGTCTTAAATGACACTGGGTCCAAAACTGGGGTAGTACCCATGTATCTATTTTAAATATTTATACTATTATTTATATATCTGTGTCATCTTTATTTTGTTTGTATAGTAATCACAATTTTTACTGCCTTTGGATGTCAAGAGTTTTTTTTCTTCTGTAGTTACATATACTTTGAGATACTTTTAGTTGCATTTATTTGTTCTTCCCTTATATCAGCGCTGTCCAATAGATAAATAATGTAAGCCACATATGTATTTAAAATTTTCTAAGAGCCACATAAAAAAGGTAAAAAGAAATGGGTGAAATTAATTTTAATAATATATTTTATTTAATCCAATAAATCTAAAATATTATTTCAACTTGTAATTAATATTAAAAATTATTAGTGAGATATTGTACATTCCTTTTTTCTTATTGAGTTTTTGAGATCCCATGTATATTTTACATTTACCACACATCTCAATTCAGACTCTAATTTTTTATTGAAAATATTTGATAAATGTATTTAGGTTGTATAAATTTACAGTTGAGAACATAGATTCACATACCCAGGTAGTTCCAAATATACTTAAAAAGTTTTCCAAAAACTTAGGCAAGTATCAGTTTTTAAATTAAACTTTAAATAAGATAAAAAATGCCGTTCTTCATATGCACTGGCTGTATTTCAAATGCTCAGTAACCTCATGTGGCCAGTATTTACCATATTGGACAGCAAAGCCTTTATAATGTATCTGGCTAGGCCTTGATGAAGACCTACACTAATAGTACTTAATAGTTTTTCTCATTGGTCTTTGAGGTGAATAGATAGCCAAACTAAGTATTGCAGAATCCATGACCTGACTTTCCTTACTCATTCTGCAGTCAGTATGCTCTGGTCAGGGAGATGTAATTAAATTTTTTTTTAGTTATGAAATATTACAGGTATACTGATAAGAATAGATGATACTTTTTTACATAAGACTTTAAATGTTCATTTATTGTCCTCTGTGCAAGGTAATAGGCTATATGTTATTATATATATTTTGCAATTGTTTTTCATAAACAGCTATGGTATAGTAGAAACTGTCAGAAGATCTGAGTTCAAGTTTTAGTTAACTCTGACACTAGTAATATGATTTTGGACAAAGAACTTAGTTCTCTGAGCCTCAGTTTCCTCATCTGTAAAACGGAGATGATACTCTACCTATAGACTGATTTAGTATATGTGCTGCCGAAGCGAGCACAGCCTATAGACTGATTTAACAGCAAGTGAGACTGCATATGAATGAAACTGTAAAATCTTACAAAAGTGAGTTGTTGTTCATCATAATAATCCTGTGGGATTGGCATTGTAAATTTCCATTTTGCATATAAGCAAACAGACTCAGAGAGGTTTATTAACCCTAATAATCAAAGCTAGTTAGACTGTATACCAGAATTGAAACCAGTTCTATAAACTTCCAAGTATGAACACTACCTTGCAAGCCTACATTTTTCCCAGGTGTTTTACCAGTATCCATCTACAGCCTCAGTGCTGAATTCCTTTCTTCCCTTCATACGTAGGCCCTGATACAGTCCTTATCTCTTCCAACATCGTTGCTAATTTCTGCCTTGTACCTGGCTGGGTCAGACAGTAAGTGCTTATGGTTGAGCATTTATTTGTTTCCTAATTGCCATGAAGCACTTTGCTATTTGATGTTGCTGCATTGTTCTGTTGAACAGTAGATTATGCTTAAATACCTAATCCTGGAGGATAAAAAAGTTTGACTTTAAATTTTATCTTAGTGTGGAGTGCCCACGTTCCTCCTCCGACCCCCCACCCTGAATTTTATGTTTTGATATCTCCTGCAGCTTTTCACTAAAATATTTTCAATAATAGCATGATTCTCTACTGCTGATATTGGAAGGTAGTTCAACATTTCTCTTCCTCCATAGTTTGTTTATAGATTAAAGGTTGATTTGCTCAATTGATAAGCAGGAAAAAACTACTAATTCTTCAAATCTTTTGCATAATTAGTCCCAAAGAAATGAAGTCTTCTGAGAACAAACCCAATTCTTACAGACGCCTGAACACTAAGTTCTTGGAGTTCCCTGAATCCTTGCTGGTAGGAATATTTAAGCCAGGAGAGTTTAGCTGACACTTTTAGTTTTGGGTACAGGAGGCAATTCCAAATCCAGGTCAACTCCCTTGCAGCTGTATGGATTTTCTCATGGGGTTTGAAGTGAAAACTCATTTAATGAAAAGCCTGCAGGCAGCCACATATGGATATGCTGGCTAAGAAAGTATTGTTTATGTAGACAGATATTCTAATTGTCTTTTTAAAGGAGCAGAAGACTTGTAATAAGAGCATTTTTATTTTTATTTTTATTTTTTTTTAAAGATTTTTTATTTTATTTATTTGACAGAGAGAGACACAGGGAGAGAGGGAACACAAGCAGGGGGAGTGGGAGAGGGAGAAGCAGGCTCCC